AAGGGAGTACCGGGCGGCGGCACATACGTGCGGGAGGATGGCAGCAGCGACGAGGAGCGCGCGATAGCGCGCGAGTGCAGCGCAGGTGCGGGTATCCTAGGCGGGGCAGGATTAGGCGACGCACGAGAGGAGACGCATGCACAAGGAAGGGACGGCGCGGACTGGGCGCGCGCAAGGGTGTACGCGTGCGGGACACACGAGGTGCGCGATGCCTCGCGCGCCAAGGATTAGGAAACCGAAGGGTGGCGCACGCATACGCGTGAGGCGCGAGACACGTGAGACGGCCGAAGGGTTTGGGCGCAAGGTTCAAGCTTCTAGAATTGTTTGGAGTGCAAGACAAGTAATGAGGAGATCTAGTAGATTTAGGATTTTTTGGTAGTAGGATATTTACTTGCCTTAGGATTTAATATTTTATTGTTTTAATAGTTTCCTAGTAAGATTAGCACTAGAGGTAATTAGCACCTATAAATACCCCATGTACCTCTACATTATTGAGTATGTCTTGAATTGAGTATTGAATTGGTGAGCCAATTGAGAGGGGAACTTTATTTTCTAACGTGTGATAAACAAGGCCATTAGTGCGTGTTTACATACAGTGTCGGAGAGAAGGCCATTAGAGCGTCTTGAAGTCACAGTGTCTAGGAGAAGGCCGATAGTGCGTCTGTTAGATACACCTATCGTGAGTAATCGAAGGCCCTGAGTGCGCGATTATTCACAGCCCGTATAGACAAAAATCAGTTCCTTCATCACAGAGCCACCCCAAAGGCTGGGGTGAACTCCTCACCGGTCTTAATTTCCGGTCCATCTAAATGTACACTACTAATAAATATTTAATCTCATGTTATATTAGAGTAGTTACTAATTAATAATCTTGTTTTGGCCTAAAATAAATTATATTTATCTTATATTAAACCAATGAATTATATATTTGAAAATGATTTAAGTCTCATTTAGCTTTTCCTTTAGCTCATTACGTCGTTTTCCGTCTTCTGTTTGTGTTTTTGTTATATTATTTGGTTAAATAATTTTTTTATTTGAATAATTTATTCGAGAATATTTTTTTGTGTTTAGACTTCTATTAGAATATTTAGTGTACAGTTGTATTTATTGAATTTAGTTATAATTTTTCAAATAAACAGTATTTCAGTATTAATATAGTCTCATTTATTTTTATGTGGCATATTCAATGAAATAATATATGAACCTTAAATTACATATTCAATGAAATAATATATGAACCCTAAATTACATGTCATACAACAAGAATAAAATCATTAGTATACCATATCATGACGGTCTTTCTAATAAATATATTATTTTTTCTATTGAAAGTTCAAGTATATGAGAAAATATCTTTGCATTTCAAAAAAAAATATAAAAAATTATGATTTGTCATATGTATAAAAAAAGTAGTTAATAATTCACAAGTTTGTTTAAGAAGTCCATATAATTGATTTTTATTCTACAAATACAACATCTATATTTTAATATTATTTCATGCGTGATTCATGTAAAATATTTAATACTTAAACAAAATTCATATATTTTTTTTTATATATGCATATTGCTAGATTATTCGAGTCGAGTACTTCATGTTTAAACTCGTGTAATTTTATTAGACGAGTTGCTGAGACCCAACTCGTTTAATAATAATAAAAAAAATGTAACCCCGAGTTCGGATCATTTAAACTCAGTTCGACTCGTTTATTAAATATTAAATCTAGACCAAAACCCAAAATTCAATTGTTCACGTTCAACTCGACTTGTCTGATTGAAAAACTCGATTAGTTGTTTGACTTTAGATCGTTTAAATATACAAGTGAGACTTTTCATGAGTCGAATCGAACTATATTACTGGTACTAGTGTTAAATTAAACGATTCTGACTCGGCTCGAATTTTCAGCTCGACTCTTTTGAATGAGCTCGAACTAATTTAAAGCTCATTTGGTTAACGAGCCGAGCTCTGCTCGACTGGATAAGGCTCGATAATTTTTTTTTTTTTATATAATTTTATATAGTATGGCTCATTAAAGCTCGGGATCGACTCGTTATTAGTGATAAACAAGTTGAGCTCGGCTCTGCTCCTTTAAAGGCCTAGCCATCGGATATTCGGTTTGAATAATAGCTGCACATTTTGTAGCCCATGATGAGAAATAATTCTGGCTACGCCCCTAATTATAAGTATACACGTCTAAACGTGCATTCCAGATAATCCCCCACACAATATTATTATGCTGACAAGTAAAGGGACCATCTAAATTTGCATTCCAGTTCCAGATAATAGCACTTAACCACACAGGTGTTCAGTAAATATTAACCAAATGTGCAAACTCAGAGCTATCTAATGCTAAAAGCACACTACTAGCAAAATACCCCTTCAAATCAGAGCCACTATGATAATTTCACTTCCTATTTAGATTATAAGTACACCGTTCACCTATCGAAGCAAGAAGGAAAGTTCGGAAATCTCATCAGCAGCAAAGAGAAGATCACTTTAAAGTCTTAACTCTTAATGAGGGACAAAGGCCCAAGGAATTAGGTGTTAACTCAGATTAAACAATCTTTATGACCTTGCAATTATGAACAAAAGCTGCTCCAACCCTTGAACACCCTGCTCGACTCACCATTTACCACCTGGAAATTACAGCCATGAGGAAAATAAAAACTTAAACGACATTACGACAAAGAGCAAAGTTCTGTGGGTAAATCGGTAAAATTGCCTGAATCAACACCGACAATGTCAACAGGGTGGCATATTAAAGGAGAAAGAAAAATCAAACACCTAAACTTGTTGTGTCTCTAAACAAATGAGAACATGTCCAAAGATAGATGGCAAAAGTTGTAATAGAAGTAATTCAGAGTTGCTCAACATCAATAGCAGACAAGGCAAGTTACAAATGCAAGGAGCCACGGCAAACTCCCGGCAGCCAATTGATAGGTTGGATGATCCAGAACCTGGTCAAATTTGAATGTTGAAATGTCAAAAAATCCTCAATACCATGTTCCACAAAGAATACGGTATGAGGACACACGTGTACCTACCATACTCAGATGAGCGAACACAACTATACTCATATCATCTGTATATTGAGGGAGGGAAAGTTTTGATCACCCATCCTTCTGATGCTCAACAGCTCAATAAAGGTAAGAACAATATAGCCTTTAAAAGAAGCTTCCCAAAATATTAATTAAGATATAGTATTTCTAGATTCTACATACATTACTAGTAAGATCACAGTGAAGCTAAACTTATCAGCAAATGGACAAGAAAAGAAGGTTTGCCAACTGGAGATTTTAAAGCTAAAATTCACTTTTGAAATTTCTCCAAATGTGAACTGTTCAAAGAAGGCTTCTCCATGATTAAATTACACAAAATTTGATTTAAAAATTGGGACTTAGGACAGTGTTGGCTAAAGGAAGCTGTTCTGGAAAGTAACTTGAAAAACCATCATACTAGGATAAGCACTGGAGGTCATACAGAAATTTGGATTGTAAGTGAGATTGTTTTGGACAAACCGGGGTTTCGGGAAAGTATATTCAAAGGAAAAGGCATAACAGAGCATATTGGAAGACGCGCGTAGTGGTAGGAAAATTTATTGCAACATGTATTTGGTAGTGATAGGAAAATACTTGGCCAGTGAACAACCTAAGATTACAAAGAAAAACAAGAAAAGAAAATAAGAGAAGAGTTCATCAGTTTGTAAGCCACACATTTCAGGGTCAAATAGTTGCAATAATTTTATACCATATCAAGCATGAGATCGCCAGCAGAAGAGACTATGCTACTAATTGCCAATCATTCAAGTATCACCAAGAGAATACAGATACCAAAGGGGGAAGATATATAGATGAAATAAAATTTATATTCAACACGTAAAGGACCAGCAAAATCTACCCAATAAAGCACCAACATCATAAAACACAAGCGCCTCGACCAATGCACAACAACAATAAACATTTATCATCAGGGTAACATAGAAGTACACACACCAAAAGAAAAAAAAAAAACAAATACTCTAGATAAGAATAAAAGCTCACGGTAACATCAATCTAAGTACCATACCATAGAATGCAAACATAAGGTCTATATTCGCACATGTGTACTCACTCTTTAAGCCCAATATCCTCAACTCTAGCAAAGCACAACATCATAAAATAAATAAAAAAAAAAAGAGAAGAAGATAGAAAGTACAGGTGCAACAGTTACCAACAACATCACTGCTCCTTCTCCTCCCTCTCCCGATTCCACTGCTCAATCCTCGCCCTCCGTTCCTCACTCCCTTCCCTCACAGGACTTCTGCTCCTCTGCCTTCTCCTCTCACCCTCATACCTTCCCCCACCACCATGCCTGTCTCCTCCTGACCTCCTGCCACCACCTCGGTGGTCCCGCCTCTCGTAATCCCTGTCCCTGTCCCGATCCCGCCTGTGGTGATTCGAAGGGGGGCTCGAGCTTCGGCTCCGGCTGCGGGTCCCCCAGTACCTCCCGTTGTGGTTGTGCCTGCCGAAAAGCTTCCTCCTCAGCTCCCGGCCGATCATCTTGACGTGCATGAAATTGCAGTAGCCGCCACGATTGCAGCTGTTCTCCTCGTACTGGCGGCAGGTTGCCTCCCGGAAGTCGGTGACAGGGGAGAAGTCGGCGATGATGGGGCGGCCGGAGTAGAACCGCCCCTGGAGGGCAGCGAGGGCGGCGGCGGCCTGGTCCTCCTCCTTGAACTGGGCGTAGACGTTGCCGATCATGTGGTCGGCGAGGTTGTCGCAGACGTTGAGGCTCTCGATCTCCCCGAACTTGCGGAGCTCCTCGTAGATATCCTCGAAGAAGTCCTCGAAGTGTTCCTGGATCTTGCGGGGGTCGATGGGCTGGCCCTGGGGGTCGACGCCGGGGGTGATCATGTCGGGACGCTGGTACATGTTGGAGAGGAGGAGGGTCGGGGAGATTGTGGGGCGATTATGGAGGCGGGAGCAGCGGTCGCCGTGGCGGCACGCGCCGATCTTGAAGTAGAAGGGGCAGTTGACGCGGTCCTTCTCGGTGCCGAAAATAGAAGCCAGGTGCTCCGCCATTGTTGATCCTTGCGAAGGGGAGCTTTACTTTTGCAGGAGATATTGGGTGAAATGACGAGGAATTGATTTTTGTGCAGGGGTTTGAGAAAGTAAACAGTAAACCCTAATTTTTCGTCAAGTGCGAAATGGGGGAAACGGATTGTTCCAAAGTTGAGTACGAAGAAGAAAGCCGGCTTGCGAAGTGACAGAAATACCCCCCACACGATAATAAATATAAATTTATTAACTACGAGAAATATTTGTAATTTTTTTATGTTGTGTTTTATGTCTTCGGTAGATCATGAAGATCGTGTGTCATGGTGTTGTGATTTGTGAAAAATCTGCAGTAACGATTTTGGTTAATACAAGAGTTTTGTACTCAAATGAGTGTTTTTAGTTGTATCTTATTGCTTAAATAAATCAAAATTAAATAGGCTATTTAAAAAAAGAAAAATATTAGATCTATGTTGGGATTAAACATGTGTAATTGAACATTGGGTCATCATGTTGTTTAGCCAAATTAAGTGATCAAATTATTGTGCATTGTCTAAGGAACTTAATTTAGATTGTGGAACGATTAAATGTGGAACCCATTAACATTATTATTTGGTGACGTAATAAATAATAATATTAAAATTAAGTACCTAAATAGCAAATAATTTGGGTCAAAACAATTAATGGGTGGAGTCCCCAAAAGGCGTGAAAATACAGAGGGGCCCTTAGGGTTCTTTATTAAGAGACACGAAAAGAACCGCCGCCCCACTCTCTTTCATTCAGTTTTCTTAGTACGCCAGAAGGCAAGAGACTACAGTCACGGTCTTTTGAAAATTCTCCAAAATCCCACAAATCCCCAATCAAATTTAAGTACGAATCCAATCAATCAACATGAATCCATCAGGTACGCTTTCGCTCTTCGGTTTGATTCTTGATTATTCGACATGAACGCTCTTGGGATTAAGCGATTTCAATCGCATACGGTTAAATTCAATTCTATCAATTGGTATCAGAGTCACTTCATATTGGATTTGAGAGAATCAATTTATGTTAAATCTGATATATTATGTTGATGTGAATCCATCAGACTTTTGGATTCATTTGTTGTTTTTCGGCTATATATGTATGTTTTAGTGGGAAGAATCGATGTTGCCCACATGGGCACTGCCGCCATGACCTTTGGGCCATTGATATGCACACACATACAAACACACCCACATGGGTGCGTGTGAAATCAATGGTCAAAACATGCAAGGAGGTAGTGCAAACTTAGGGGTAGCATGGAATTTTTCGTTTTAGTGATGATCAAAGCATGGGCAAATCAATTCATAATTGTGAAATATATTAGCTAATTGGATATTGTTAAATACTGATTTAAGTCCCAAATTCAAATCAGTTTTATTCCATACATAAGAATTGATTTATTTGCTGCTATTGTAATGAATCCATCAGACTTGGTTGTGCATAGATTTTGATGTTTGATTGGTTGAATTAATGGCCTACTGACATAGTAAATTCAATCAGTTATTGACATGCTTTTGATATTTGGATTCAGTTGATTCAAATTTTTTTAAAGTGAATTGGTCAGCAATCTAGGGAGCCAAGGAGGGAGGTTGATCAAGCTGTTGGTCACGGTGGATATAGCAGAACCATTCCCAAGATGTGCTTCCATTAGGCTGGGGGAAGAAGTAGTTTCAGTTATTTTCAAATATGAGAGATTGATTAATATGTGCTTTTATTGTGGGAAAGTGGGGTACATTGAAAAGAACTGTGGAAAGAGAATTGAAGATGTTGAGCACCATTGTCCTAAAGAAGGCCAATACGGGAAATGGGTTAGAGCATCTGAGGGATTACAGGGACAAGGATGGAATAATGGCAGTTCTTCTTCTGAACAAGCTGGAGAACCTAGTCCATCTAATACAAAGGGCAAGGTTCTAGGGGGAAGGACACTACTTTTAATGGTGAGTCTAATGGAGCATCTGATAGTTCGAGGAATCAACAGGGCCACAATCAAAAGGTGGACTCAGGTTTTTCTAAAATGGGTGGAGGGGAATCATCAGGTAGTGGTAAGGGAGAGATGGTGCTGTTTGATGGTGCAAATCAGAGTAAAGCCTTGGGAGTGATCGAAGAGGAGGAGCTTCTGATGGTAGGAATGGAAGATGAGCATCTACCTTGTGAGCATGGTGATCAACTGGGGAGTGAACAGCAGGCTAACATTCCAATAGGGGAAATCTCAATGGCCAAGAGGACTTGGAAGAGAACTATCCACAGGGAAGGAAGGCTTATCAGAGATGCTGGGATTAAACTGATGGAGGGGGACAAGAAAGCTACCAAAAGGCAAAGAGGACAGATAGGCATGGCTGAGAGTACAAATGGGATGGAAGAGGTACAGTTAGCAGCTGAGAAAAAGGCAAAAACAATTTCAGAGCAGGTGGAGAGGGCCAACCTTAAGGAGCCCTCAAGGTGTCAATGAGAGCTATGGTGTGGAACTGTAGAGGTCTGGGTGGGCCCTCTACAATTCCCCAGATCAAGGAATCCTTGAGGATCCACCACCCTCATTTCATGTTTTTGTCAGAAGTTAAAAAAACCAAAAAAAAAAAAAAAAATTACTTTCCAAGTTTGTAGTAGGTTGGGTTTTGTTAATAATCAGTTCATTATTGAACCTCATGGCTCTGGAGGAGGGTTGGTGTTGTGTTGGCAGGCTCAGATTGAGGTGAAACAGGTCTATGGCCAGTCTTTCTTTATTGCTGTTCAGTTTAGAGAAAAAGGGCAGGACTTATCGTTATGGGCTATCTTTGTTTATATCAGTCCTTCCAAAGTGGAGAGAGAGGCTCAGTGGGACTTTATTTTACAAGAAAGATCTGTTTGGGGAGATTCTTTTGTAGTGATTGAAGACTGGAATGACTTATTGAGAGCTGAAGATAAGAAATGAGGGATCTGTAGGCCTCTGAACAACTTTTGGGAATTTCAAAATTTTGTGGCTCAAATGGGAATGCAGGAGTTACCTTTGCAGGGTGTTCAGAGTACATGGGCCAACAATAGAAGGGGAGAGGGGTTTGTGGAGGAGATTCTTGACAGAGGCTTTGTTACTTTGGGATGGGCAGCAAAATTCCCAAATACTCAGGTGTATAGCAAGTTTAGGAGTGCCTCGGATCACTGCCTGTTGGTGCTTGATTCTCATGGAGGAACTACAAGATTCAAGAAGAGATTTTTTTTTTATAAAAGGTGGAGCAGGAGTCCAGGAAGTTGTAAAGGAGGCTTGGGAGGTATCTGTCACTGGAACTCCCATGTTCTATTAGAAGGAGAAAATCAAGCAGACCAGAACAACTTTATTAAAGTGGAGCAGGTATTTTCAATCTCAGAATAACCAGAGGATCTCTAAACTCACTATGCAGCTTGAGGAAATGAGGCAAGAGGGGGGTGACAGACATTGGGAAACATGGGACAAGATAAAAAAGGAGTTAGATTAGGCAAATGGTGAGGAAGAGATGTTTTGGCAGCAGAAGGCCAGGGCTTTGTGATTGAAAGAAGGAGACAGAAACACGAAGTTTTCCATGCTTATCCTACACAGAGGAGGAAGATGAATTCCATTGATAAGCTGCTGAACCAGAGGGGAGACTTGATTGATGATCAGGAAGGTATTGAAAAAATTATCACTGAGTATTATGGGAAGCTGTTCTCTACCAGAGGATCTGCCAGTGGCCATAAATTCTTGCCTCTTATATCCCAGTCTATTACAGAGGATATGGACAAAGTTCTTATTGGCCCTGTGGAGGAAGATGACATAAGGCAGTCAGTCTTTAGCATTCACCCTGAGAAGGCTCCTGGGGAAGATGGGATGACAGGGGTCTTCTATCAGCACTTTTGGCCCATTGTGAAGGAGGACATCTGCCATACTGTGCAAAGTTTTTTTTTTTACTTCAGGGCAAATGTTGAGTTACTGGAAACAATCCCCAAATGCCCTAATCCTACTTCTATTACTCAGTTTAGACCTATCAGTCTGTGTTTTGTTTTCTATAAAGTCATTTCAAAAATATTGGCAACTAGATTGAGAGACTGTTTTCTTATCTGTATATTTGAGAATCAGAATGCCTTTGTGCCTGGTAGGCAGCTCCTTGACAATGTGGTCATTGGGCATGAAGTTTTTCACTATCTGAATAGGCACAAGAGTGGTAAGAACTGTTTTATGGCTCTAAAGTTAGACATAATGAAGTCTTATGACTGTTGAATGGAAAGCAGTTCAACTTACTATGATTAGGATGGGTTTCCACAGATTGTTTGTCAAATGGATAATGGCTTGCATCCAGTTTCTCTCTTTCTCCTTTAATATAAATGGCAAATGCTGTGGGTTTGTTTCTGCTTCAAGAGGAATCAAACAAGGGGATCCCTTATCCGCTTATTTATTCCTTATCATTTCAGAAATGTTATATGTGAAGATTAAAGATGAGGCTGAGAAGGGCAGGTTCAGAGGGTTGAGACTTGCTAAAGGGGGGCCTACACTTACTCACCTAATGTTTGCAGATGACACATTGGTGTTTGCAAGGCAGATGAAGAGCAAGCAGAGCTGATTATTAATATCCATAATGAGTTCCATGAGTTCTCTGGACAACAGGTGAGTATGAGTAAATCCACAGTTTTTTCAGCAAAAATGCTTCTGTAGAGGTTTAGGACAAAGTATGCTTGAAATTCAGAGGTATCACAAGGCACTCCTCTACAAGATACTTGGGATTACCACTTGGGATTGGGAAATCCAAAAAGGAAGCTTTTGATTACATCATTGCAGTGGTGAGGAGCAGAATTTGTAATTGGAAGAATAGATGGCTTACATCTGCAGGTAAAGAAATTCTTAATAAAGTTGTGCTTAATGCTTTATCTGTATTTGCAATGTCATGCTTTGTGCTTCCTGTTGGGCTTTGTAGAGAGATCTCTAGCATATGTGGGCAGTTTTGGTGGAGTAAGGGCTCTTAGTTTATCAGAGGTATGCATTGGGTAGAACGGAATAAACTAACAGTCCCCAAAGCTCATGG